TGTAGATAGCTCATTGTGTAGTTTCGTACTAAGAAAACACATCTTCCACATTTTCTGGTTGTTATTTACAACAGGTTAATCAATATAGCTTTAAATTTTTAGTTGACAAATTTTTTTTCAAATAAGAAATTAGATGATAAAGATACCGTTTTATTAAACTTGTAGGCCTGGCCAGGTGGTTAGGTAGCTCGACTCTTAATCTGCGGGTCGCGGTTTCGAATCCTCAGTCCCATCAAACATGCTCGCCCTTTCAGTCGTGGGGGCGTTATAATGTGACGGTCAATCCCACTATTCGTAAAAGAGTAGCCCAAGAATTGGCGGTGGGTGGTGATGACTAGCTGCCTTCCCTCTAGCCTTACACTTCTAAATTAGGGACGGCTAGTGCAGATATCCCTCGTGTAGCTTTGCGCGATATTCAAAACAAACAAACAATTAAATTTGTAAATGCTCAGTTAGGAATATACACAATAGATATTGTTTTTTTTGTGCTCAGAACTATGAACACTAAATAGCATTACGACACTATATTAAAATTGCTTAAAACTTAAACTTCGATAGTGTTTTAATGAGAACACTATAAATATTTAGGAAACTGGACACAATTTCACTTAATAAAAACTGGATTTGAAGTGCTCAGGACACTTCACAGTGTTCCAGAATGATCCTGCAAGTAAAAAGGTTGAGGAAACATTTAGCAACTATGAAATATTCAACAAGATTTATTGTATTTCACGAGTAAGGTTTCCTAAAGAACAATGTAGAGAATATGTTATTGCCATGAGAAATGTTTTTAAAATAATAATCTAGCTATTTATAAACATCACATAAAAATACTCGAAAGTTTTTCGAGTATGAACGATGTTTGTTGAGATATTTCAAGATTTTATCCAGTGCTTTCTGGCATATTGTGTTCCATGTCACCTTCCGTTAACACACAATAACTGGCCGACTAACATTTCGTTTGTTTCAGTTAGTGTTAATCTTACATTGTAATGTTTGAAAATTATTTTCTGAGATAAAACACACAACACCTTTTTTTTCTTTCTACATGTGGTCGTATTAGAAACAGAAATAGATTTTACAATGCATCAAAAATGTGCAAATAACCACTGATCACGAAGCTGCAGCCTAGTACTTTGTTTCTTGACGAAATTACACACCAAGTTTGATGAACTCAGTCAAATGGAACTTAAGTAAAGTGCTGACGAACACAAGTTACTTGGGCATTAAGTCTGTTTATTTTATGACTTCATTTACTAAGTTTGATCCCATTTCATCTTATATAGTACTCAAACATGACAGACAATCCAGACTAAATATCCGGCCCACTCCTAAGTGGGTCGACAAAAAAAAAGTTACGTGCAAAACAAAACAGTGAATCCTAGAAGGCGTCCAGAATAATAAACGACAGTTCACCTTGACGTCTAGTTAGTTACCTGGAGTGCTTTAAAAAGTGAACTTTGATAGTTATTTAGAATAAGGGGAAGAGAGAGGGGGATGACTCGTCACAGACACACCACGCCGAGACCACCAGTGAGAGTGAGGACTGTTTTGTTTCACTTGTGAGTCAACAGACTGGGATGAATTAACCTTTTTTTCTCCCTTATTTAAGAAAGCTGCTAAGCTTCACGGCTTTTCTACTAGTCACTTGCTTAAGGTTTTTTCGCCACTCTTTCCTCTTATTTCTTGCAAAATCAACCTTGCTAACTTTTCTCTTTGTCATTTGTTTCTTTGTTCAACTTTTAATTCAAAGTTCATATTTTTTGTGTTTTTTATTTTACATGTCTAAACCCTTTAATGACATTCAGCAACAAAGTGAGACTCAGTAGAATAAATGGAATGATTTAGCATCGTTTGTAGATTTTTTCAAAAACTCCAAACGTATTTGAACAGAAATAACATGAAATATTTTATTGAATAAAAATGTATTTTATTTTCTACATACGTGCTTTGTATATACAATTATTAAGAGTAAATGTTGAGTGCAACGACCATCTCCCACTCTCTCTCTGTCTTTTATTATTATTATTTTTTCCTTACTCAAATCACCTTAAATAATGTTCGTGCAGATCCGCAGGGAACTTGAAAAAAGGATCCTGTCCTTGGCGGTCCCCTACCGGCTAAGATTTATGACCGTGTAAAGTCTGTAGTGTTAATCATGCGACAACATGCGTTCTTTGCATCCAGGATAACGTATTCTAATATTCTCATCCAACATAATTTCTGTAGTGAAATGAAACTGTCTAAACTTGTCCGTCAAGGTAGTTTTCTAAACAAACAAAGCTAGCTATTTTAGTCGCCCATCTTTAACTTAATCCTTCTCGAGCTCACTGCGGAGTTGTTTATTTGGCCAGCTAAAAATGATTAGATGCAAATAAAATGGGCAGTCATGCATGTTTGACACAACTTTTGCTTTAAAGTTTGTCAACTATCTAGAATTTATCATTTTTGGCTGAGTCTTTAGATAGCGAATGGCTTATATCTACATTCTTTTTTTGTCTGATCTCCGACAGTACAAACAGAACGCTGCTGGAATGGTAGATTTTTTTGAGCGATAAAAAAATCTCACTAGTTTACGAGTCTTTCTGAACAAGGAGAATTAATTTTGTCAGGCAACTACGTTCACAACATTTTTTTTTCTATTAACGCAAAGCTACACAATTGTCTATCCGCTCTCTGTCCACCGCGGGGAAAAGAACCAAGGATTTTACGTGTAAGTCCGTAAACCTACCGCTAACCCACCGGGAGATTCACAACATGCAAAAATATGTTGCTATAAAACAACTTTCTCTACAGGAAATCGAAGCAATAGCAAAACAAACTTGCAGTAAAACTCGTTATTAGAAACATCTTTGTGAAACTTACTCAACCCTATTTTGAAAACAAAGGCAAACACGTGTAATGTTTGTGGGAAGAAGTGAACTGATTCTGGAGTGTCTCGTTCAAGTGCGAATTAGTCAATGTGAGTGAAAGTCAACAAGGCTGAATCCATATGGATTTACTCATCTTAAGTATAGAGCTAGAATTATTAATGCGGTTCACTTAAATGCTTTAATTGTTTTAACTGCTCTGTCCAAACACACACACATGTATATCTGTAAAATGCGTGTTAAATGCACACATATCAGACGTTGTTTTTTTTTTCAGTCTCTTTACATATACACATTCTTTACACAAACATTCTCATCGTGAGGAACATGACTTATTAGTCATTTTATCCATTCTATTTTTACACATGCGTTGTCTTATTCACTTTCCCTGCTCGTACATTTATTACGGTGAAGACTTTAGGTTATCCATAATTTTATCCATTCTTTCTACATCATATACTCCTTATCTTTGAGGTATTTTATACTTTCAACATGAACGGCTGTTATACGAAACAAAGTAAAAATGACCAATTAAGAAACACAAAGGTGCAAAACGCTATCCAGAGGGAGGAAAATCAATCAGCAGCACCCACCACGCTAAAGGAATAGCGGAATTGACTGTCACTTTTATAAAGCACAAAAAATCTGAAAGTGCGGAGCTTGTTCAGCGGCATACTGTGGACCTGAACCTTGGATCTTCTGATCCGCAACTCGGCTTTATGCTACATGTGTTCGATTTTACGGAATATCTGGAAACTAACGCACTATTTCAGAACGAACATTGAATTGAGTGTAATTTAGCTTCTGCCTGTTTTTTTTTTATATCTCGATTAGAACACTAGGACATAAAGGAAATTGTTCTGAGAGAAACGAATCTATGTAGAAGTTACTATAAAACAACAAAAACAAGGTACATCTTCAATTTTCCTTTATCACATTTATCTCCCTTTTCTTTTCAGTACTGTGGCTGTTGTTGATACGGTTAAAATATATATAAAATATGCAAAGAAGAAGAAAGAGAGATCGTTTTGGATGATTTTAATATTCCAGTTCACAAAAATATTATATAAAAACACGATAGAAATAAATGAAAGATTAAATATTACATTAAGCTTGATAATAGTATTCTACATATGTTTCTTTACTGGCCCTATACAGTAAAGAAAGATTTGGATAAATTTATTATAAGTTGTGCTTGTAGTTAAGCACAAGGCTACATAATGGGCTACCTGTGCTCTGCCCACCGCGGTTATAGAATTCAGATTTTTAACGTTATAAGTCTCCAGACTTACTGCTGAACCAGTGGGGGCATTATTATCAGTTACATTGAGATGTAAGTCACACAAGCTACTGATCAACAGGTCACGCTTTGTTAGTGTAAGGGTTATATACCATAATAATGATAAAAAATGTTTCTAAATATTACTTTCAAATGATTTTATTGTTCAGCGAGTTATAAACACACAATAAAAACAGTTACCTCATTTTTACGGGCAAGTTGAAGAAATAAACCCTTAAGCGTACAGATATTCAATGCAACACGTAGAACAAATTTAAACACGAGTCTAAATAAGTTACAGTTATATTTTCCAGACTGTCATCGTTGTCTACGACGTAAGTAAATAATTATAATCTTAACCCTATAATTACCGATGGCATCCATGGCTTTTTAGGCATATTTTTTCTGAACTATTTATGCATCAAATCGCTTGTGAGTTAGTGACTTTGTTGTTTACAGAGTCTTTAATAAAACATAGATCATAAAAAATACCACCAAAATGGCAGTTAATTCCCGTAAGTACTACTATGGCCCTCTAGGTATTTTACAAAGAAAATTAGTGATTTCACACAATTTTTGTTCAAATTATTACATCCAATGTTTGTTCGTTGTTAAGCATTAGGCTTCACACTAGACTATCTGTGCTGTGCCCACCACAGGTATCTAAATCCAGTTTTACTGTTAAAAGTCTGCTGAGCCACTGTGGGGCTATCCCGAGTGTACTTTACACAGGCAAACACATTATATCTACTCAAAATAATGCAACATGGGACTCCACCGGTAGTGAACTGTGTAAGGACACGTCGGTAATTTGAAGTCTAATATATTCCATAATATTCTTTGTTTCAGGTCCTCCCCGTCTCGTACATCAATTCCATAATCCACAACATATTGTTATGGCAGGTTCGGATGTCCAGTTGCCCTGTCCAGTTGAAGGTGACCAAAACTCTTTGTTTATCGAGTGGTACAAAAATCGTCAGCCACTCTCTATCCTGGGTGGGGATCATTTTCGTGTTACGAACCGAGGTTTCCTGAAAATCAGAGGAGCAGTTATAGACGATACAGGTTTATACGTCTGTCAGGCAGTCAACGGTTTCGGTGGTCTTGACGTCAACGTAACCTTGATTGTACTAGGTGAGAGCTATTTATCTGGTATTTATTGATTTATAAGTAAGCATATTCATGTTTATGATGTTTACATCTGTCACTTCTACCAGAGGATCTGCTAAGCTTCTACAATAATGATTACGATTAATAATAAACAGAATCAATTGTGGCAAACTACAAAAAAAGTTTTTATTGCCACTTTAGATTATCAGTTTGTTACTCTCGCCGTCAGCAGTGTTTTCGGCTCTTAACCCAAGAGCACGTGACCAGGTTTAATCCACTTAGTGAAATGAACAAGCACTGAAACAGAATTATTCCACGTAAAGCTTCATATACCATGCCTATCACATATCCCATCTGAAGCCTCATGTACCATGCTTATCACATATCCCATCTGAAGCCTCATGTACCATGCTTATCACATATCCCATGTGAAGCTTCGTGTACCATGCCTATCACATATCCCATGTGAAGCTTCTTGTACCATGCCTATCACATATCCCATGTGAAGCTTCGTGTACCACGCCTATCACATATCCCATGTGAAGCTTCATGTACCATGCCTATCACATATGCCATGTGAAGCTTCATGTACCATGCCTATCATATATGCCATGTGAAGCTTCGTGTACCATGCCTATCACATATCCCATGTGAAGCTTCTTGTACCATGCCTATCACATTCAGTCAATGTAGCTATTGCTATTTAAGAAGTCAATTCTATATATTAAGTTAGCTAATACTATAAACAGCTAAAAAACATAATGAATTGTTTAAATTATTACTGTAAATTAGTATACACTACAAAAACACATACAAACTTGCGTGTTATTTAGTATGTGACAAGTTCCAGCTAGATGTCAACAGGACAATAACACAGCTTGTGTGAATATTTGACCACTAGTGTACCTGATCTAATTCTATCCATTTCAATCCTCTTACTGTTTGCGAGGATCTTGCTAAAGAAAGTCTACCCAACTGCTAGATTTGAAGGGAGAGGGGACTTATAAATGAAACAAACCAAAGGTTACCACTTCTTAAAAGCGGAAGGATAATTTAAGAAAACTTAACATAGAATTATCGGAAAGTCAGAGATAAAGGATGTATTTTTAAATGTTTATGACGTGATAAGTGCCTGGACTTACGTTGTAGTAAGCAAGGTCTGGATAAAAGATGTAGTTTTAAATCTTAATGATGTGATAAGTGCCTGAACTTGCGTTGTAGTGTGTAAAGTCTGGATAAAAGATGTAGCTTTAAATCTTTATGATGTGATAAGTGCCTGGACTTGCGTTGTAGTATGTAAAGTCTGGATAAAAGATGTAGTTTAAATCTTTATGATGTGATAAGTACCTGGACATACGTCGTAGTATGTAAAGTCTGGATAAAAAAAGTGGCTCTGCGAATTATATGATCTATACAGAGTCGATGTCAACATCATAGTGAAGAATTGACTCAGCATGACTTTCAACATCACGGTAAACAACTGACAGCATAACTTTCAACATCATGGTAAACAACTGACAGCATAACTTTTGAAGGATTGTTGTTGTTTGTAGTTAAGCACAAAGCTACACAAAGGGCTATCTGAGCTCTGCCCACCGCGGGTATCGAAACCCGGTTTCTAGCGTTATAAGTCCGCAGACATACCACTGTGCCACTGGGGGGCCTTTTGAAGGAGTTTAATATAGTGATAAGTGTGAAAGATTAAATGCTTAGGTTTGTGTTGGAGCATAGGATGAAGAAAGTTATTTATATTCTAGATTGATCATGTTTATCATGCGAGTTACACTGAGTCAACGACCAAACCGTTTATCATGCGAGTTACACTGAGTCAACGACCAAACCGTTTATCACGTGAGTTACACTGAGTCAACGACCAAACCGTTTATCATGCGAGTTACACTGATTCAACGACCACACCATTTATCATGCGAGTTACACTGAGTCAACGACCAAACCGTTTATCACGCAAGTTACACTGAGTCAACGACCAAACCGTTTATCATGCGAGTTACACTGAGTCAACGACCAATCCGTTTATCATGCGAGTTATACTGATTCAACGACCAAACCGTTTATCACGCAAGTTACACTGAGTCAACGACCAAACCGTTTATCATGCGAGTTACACTGAATCAACGACCAAACCGTTTATCATGCGAGTTACACTGAGTCAACGACCAAACCGTTTATCACGCAAGTTACACTGAGTCAACGACCAAACCGTTTATCACGTGAGTTACACTGAGTCAACGACCAAACCGTTTATCACGTGAGTTACACTGAGTCAACGACCAAACCGTTTATCATGCGAGTTACACTGATTCAACGACCACACCATTTATCATGCGAGTTACACTGAGTCAACGACCAAACCGTTTATCACGCAAGTTACACTGAGTCAACGACCAAACCGTTTATCATGCGAGTTACACTGAATCAACGACCAAACCGTGGAAAACAATTGGCTCACCATAACTTACGTTAGAGTTCACTAAAATGTTAACTTTGAAAGGAGTAATTCTGAGGTTTGCGTTAGATTATGTGAGGCAATAATTTTATTTGTTTGTGTGTTTTTTGTTTTGAAGTTTTGCACAAAGCTACACAATGGGCTATCTGTGCGCTGCCCACCACAGGTATCGAAACCTGGTTTCTAGCGTTGTAAGTCCGCAGACATACCGCTGTGCTACTGGGGGGCTTGTACGTTTGTTGTTAAGCACAAAGATGTACAATGTGGGCTGTGCACACCACGGGTAACGAAACCCGGTTTTTAGTGTTATGAACCTTCAGACTTACCGCTGAGCCAGTGGGGGTGGGGGCATAAGGCAAGGATAATGAAAATTTGTAGCTATTATATGAATTTATAAAATCAGTTTTCATAATATCTTAAATGGAGATTGCATGAAAATAGCAAAATTGTCTGTGTTATACATTTTAGTTAAAGCAAACTGTACTTGTCACAAAACTGAAAAATATGCTGTGTGCAACCTGTTTCGTAGGTATGTGAGTGACCTTGCTAAATCAAGTTTGCCCAACGGCCAGCCTTGAAAGGGCTGTTTTATGAAGTAAAGTGGATTTTTTTTTTTTTACATTGGTAATATACGATATCAAATGTAACAACTTTCCATACATTCAAATAACCATTAACATTCTATTAATTAACATCTACGTCGGTATGGTTGAACTTTCTTCAATGAAAGCAAGTGGTTTAAGTTTTTATGTATGTATATATATATCTTCCACTACATTGTTGCGGACAAAACAGTTTAATTTCATTAATAGACTCATCGTGCAGGTTTGTAGTCAGTCAAGGAAAGTCTGGTGATTATCTTGAACAACTGAAAAGTCTCCCAAGTGTTAAGCAAGTTGTCTTAAAATGTAACAAAAATATACAGTTGCTGGAAATGGTCTTGTAGTAACACGCCTTTAAGGATATTTAACACGATAAAATTAGAATTTTCTTGGCTCCTTCTATGTAAACATGGAAGCAGTTATCTTTTATACGAGGTTACTACCAAGTTTGTTTGTTTTAGAGCAAAGTTGCACAATAAACTATCTGCATGTGTCTGCTGCAGCGACTGAATCTCGAATTCTGGAGTTAGAAATCCTAAGCTTACCGGTGGGCAACTCGTAGCTGTCAAACTTCCAACGGGAATATTACAAACAAAATTGTTCTTCTGTTGCCCTAAGGCTGCTGTACTATTTGGTCGTTTTGATCGGATCGTCATTCACATCATTTAATAAAATTTGGCATTTAAAGAGAAAAAAATATGTCACTTAATGAAATTTGGTTGAATGGATATCAACTGCCTCTTTTAGAAACACAAGTGTAGAGGACGACGTTTCGAAAGTCTTCCGCTTTTCTTCTTCTGAAGAGAAAAGTCGGAAGACTTTCGAAACGTCATCCTCTACACTTGTATTTCCACATCAGGCAGTTACCGTCCATTCAACTAAATTTAATCAAGAATACTATCAAAGGATATCACTTCTTCTCTGAACAAAACCTTAATAATATCAATCAGAGTTATTATGTTATCAATAAACATATTTTACAAAGTTCAATAAATACTTATTATTAATGTTTTGAAATAAACTTCACACTACAACTTACAAGTTCAATAAATACTTATTATTAATGTTTTAAAGTAAACTTCACACTACCATTTACAAGTTCAATAAATACTTATTGTTAATGTTTTAAAGTAAACTTCACACTATAACTTATTGTTAATGTTTTAAAGTAAACTTCACACTGCCGTTTACAAGTTCAATAAATACTTATTGTTAATGTTTTAAAATAAACTTCACACTACAACTTACAAGTTCAATAAATACTTATTGTTAATGTTTTAAAGTAAACTTCACACTATAGCTTATTGTTAATGTTTTAAAATAAACTTCACACTACAACTTAGAAGGCAGTGGCTAATGCATTATGTTTTTCGTTAATATGCAGATTATTTGCACAATTCTTCAACTCATAAAAATATGCTTTTTGTTCATAGAATGAGTAATACACACTTCTAAGATTTATGAGATCTGCTTTTGTTCCTTTGTTGTTACAAAGCTACACAATGGGTTATTTGTACTCTGCCCACCACGAGTATCGACACCTGATATTTAGCTTCATAAGTCTGCAGACTTACCGCTGAGCCACTGGGGAGAGGCATGATATTTGTAGATTGAAGCATGAAGTGTGGAGAAAAATTAAGACCAAAAAAAAACAAACAATATATATATATATATATAAAGCTTTTACGTTATGGATAACCTTAAATTTCGTATCGTTACATTTATGCAGCAAAACCTGTTAGTCCAGCTACATATATTTGACAGTTGGAGAGAATGACGCTGTATTTTTTTCAGTAATTAGTATTTTTTTTAAATCTATATATATATCTCAAAGAAAATTTTTTATAATTATTGCGTAGATGGAAAAATCACCACAAAAGCATATTAGATTCCTAGCGTATCACGATGTTATTAGTTAGATTATTGCACTATTACAATTAAGTTAAACAAAAGCTCTTTGTAAAGCCATGCGCTTACCATCAGGAGGCTCAAAAGATACAAAAAGAGACACAAACGACTGTCTGAATTTAGCAGTCGTATAAACATTGAGAACTTGTTGCGAATATTCTGAAACCTACAGAAAAATGTTCTGACAGCCAGTAATAAAAAAGTGTTATAGAAATACGAAAAACTATTTCTGCTTCATTGCAATGGGTAGCATAATGAACGCAATAGCTAGTTTCTGCCTTATTGCAATGTGTAGCATAATTAACGAAATAACTAGTTTCTGCCTCATTGCAATGGGTAGCATCATGAACGGTTTGTTTTGGATTTCGCGCAAAGCTACACGAGGGCTATCTGCGCTAGCCGTCCCTAATTTAACAGTGTAAGACTAGAGGGAAGGCAGTTAGTCATCACCACCCACCGCCAACTCTTGGGCTACTCTTTTACCAACGAATAGTGGGATTGACCGTCACATTATAACGTCCCCACGGCTGAAAGGGCTAGCTTGTTTGATGGGACGGGGATTCGAACCCGCAGATTGTGAGTCAAGTGGCTTCACCACCTGGCCTTGCCGGGCCCATAATGAACGGAATAGCTAGAATTTTAATACTGTCAGCATACTATCCTTTAATTTTGTGTTCAAAAGTTCTTATAAATCCAAATTTGTGTATTTCATTCTCACTAGATTGAGACCTCCCTGCTCAGCGGTAAGTCCGAAGGCTTATAACTCTAAAAGCCAGGTTTCGATAGCCCACTGTATAACTTTGTGGTTAACAACAAGCAAAGGAAACGTTAGATTGAAATGTTTCTTGTTCCGTTGAAAATGCTGTCCACTAACACAACGAGAAGCGATTCATTTGAATTCTGGTTATAAAAGGAACACAGCCATATCAAAAAAACACTCTGTAATTAGAGAGTATGATTATCAAAGAATAAGTGAGAGAGCTGGTCAGTTACTTGTCAAATTCAAACTACTAAATCAATTATTGGGTTCTTCAGTTTTGTCAAGTTCCATTTTTCAGTGTTTTACATACTAACTATTAAACCGCATTACAAATTCCACAGTAAAATAACAACGAAGAAATTTTCCTTTGACATTTTTTTAACGTTATTTGTTACTGATTATCTGTTTTTTTTAGTTGTTTTTTGTGTGTGGAAGGTATGAAAATGCAAAAATAATATTTAAATAAATCGAATTTGCTGTTTTTAAAATTGTATTTCATTTTCTAAATCGTTCTATTTTTAAAAGTCTGGTCTTTCGAAACAATTTATGTGTCTAAACCCTGTTTCGAGTCTTTAAATAGCATGCAACATTTTCTTATTTAATGGTGAATATCTAAATCACATGCAAAATACCGAGGGAGTAGCTATAGCTAAACATATTTTTTAATGTTTTACTTATGAAAACACGTGTAAAGTACAAATCGTACTATGTATAGATAAGTAGTTGTTTCTGTTGGTTGGTATCTGAAATCGTTTGCAACATAATTAAACAATTAACAATATCGAGACTTTCAATTCCTTGTTCCAGTAAGAACGTTCTCACGTTCTTGAACTACGGTGTTCAAACACTGATTTAAGTTCCTTTTTATTATATGCAGAAATAGGTAATTTTTACTCTTTTTTTTTTTCAGTTTCAAAAATGCTGAAACTTGCAAAGTTTTGGGATAGTGTTGAAACGTTATTATTTAATCATTGCAGTTAACTGAATTAAAACAAAGAGTGTTGACGATTTAAGGTATGAAAATAGGTATTAATGGATAAATCCCACTCAATTTATATTTAAAAGTGATTAAAGATTGATGTGGAGTTGTGTTGTGATGCTATTTGTGAAGTGCATAATTGTTTTTATTTTAATTACAAAGTAATATGTGGATACAATACAAAAAAATGCAGCAAAACAGTAACCATTAATGTTCACCAACGGCGATTCCTTTTTATGCAGAATTTTTTGATAATTTTTTGTTGTTGGATTTATAGATATAAACATATTCGATAAATTATGTCTCTCGTTATAGTTATAAGTAATTTTTTACTTCCTAAAGTAGAAAAATAAATTGTAAAATACTCGCGAGAGAGGGGTGTAACAATATCATATAATCTTATTTTTACTGAAATAGTTACTCCAGTGGCTCCTGGTGTTCAATGCTAGGAACTACAAAAGTGTTAACAAGTTCACCTGAACACCTAAAGTTAGTAATTTCTTATAATGGGATAAAATCGAATATTATGAAAAAAGAACAAAATGAAAAATTAGAGCTTGTTAAAGTGAAAAAAGAAAAGGCTACATATTTTTAACATTGAACTACAATTTTTCGCCACCACATGGCGTGCGTTTTAATATTGATAAATTTGTTATCGTCTTTGGCGCCATCTATTGAAGTTTGTATAATAAACTTTTTTTGTTATGTATTACTAGCTCGCAACAAAATACTACGGTAAGGTCTTGTTGTAGTGATAGTTGAGTTGAGAAAAAGCAAAAAACAACAACAAAAAAACAATCGATCTGAATAAATGTCTGAAAGTGAATTAACGAGATGTACTGAAGGCTCATACATTTCGTATCGAAAGGAAGTTTTTTATAATCAATGACAACTACCATATGAAAACAAATATAAAAATATTTTCTTTTTCAGAAGATGATAGTTTTCAAGAAAATGAAGACTATTCATCAGAGGTGTTACCTATTGATAATGAAGGTGAGTCTTCGTATATTTATATGACTATGATTTCTATTCAGGAGTTTCATCCATCAGAAGTTATTGTGCTAATAATACCACAAATGATTTTAAATGGGTATGACACAGAAAATACTCTTCAGGCTGTTTGTGCTGTGCCTTTTGCAAGGATATAACACCGAATGTTAGTATTATAAACCCCCAAATTTACAGCTGATCCACGGTTTACACTAAGTGAGTTCGTTAGGGCTATCTCACATCTAATGTTTTTAAATTCAGGTTTACAGTGAAAATACGTTCATTGTGAGCGTATTTCTTGTTCCAATACAGCGTTGACCGTAAAGTCATATATATATTTTAACATATTCATTGATTATGCCGTTTAAATTTTGTTCCTACACAAATAACAAACATATCATTAAGGTATCATAAAAAATGTCTTAAAATAAAATCTTAATCCATAAAAAAGTTGATTAACTTGTAACCAGAATACACTAGCTTCACTGAGGTCATGAATGATTTTATACCGATGTTTTGTTTATGCTTGTTTTATCTGAATGTTACATGTTAGTTTATATTGACCTAAAGACCAAAATAAAGTTAAATCTTTACAAACTTAAAAATATATTTGAATGAGGTACGCTAAATACTCTATACTTAATGAAAAGATGATATTTGTGACCTTACTGTTGAAAAATTTCCCACTAATGAATGCTGATTAATAAAGTAACCTAATCCTTCGAGATGAGTGGTCCAGTAAAGCTTTTCGATATTTCACTCGAATAAATATCAGTTTGAATTACATTAGTGTACAAATATATAGATAACTTTAAAAAGTGCTATTAATGACACATTTAAAAATGAGAGGGGGGTGACTAGATGTAACTGTTTGCATGCACATCGCAGGGTGGTGTGGATTAGAGAGGTTCGGTCGAACCTCCATATTTGTGATATAAAACAAAATTATGCTCATATAGTTAAAGCGCATCTGCTTGTGGTATTTAACGTTTTCTACATAGTTTACATTCTTCTGATGAAGTATTAACATTTTTTGGTTTGAAATAGTCGCATTCCCCCAGACCCCCGTAGCATTAGCATGGTTCGCACAATATGTGTTATTTTTTGATCTCACAAATTAGAACTCCTCTTTCAAACATTCTGCGTAGGGGCCTGGTTTGATAAAACTGTGCTATCTTTTGCGTACGACGATAATATTATTATACATAAATTAGCAATACCATCTTAATCTCCTTATGATGAGATATAATTTATTCAAGTCAATCACTTGTTTTAGTACTCAGTGTTTTATATATTAGCTTATTTTTTCATTTACCCAATATTTAATTTCTACAAGACATTAACAAACACATGCAGCTACAGCATGATAAGATCTGAAAACACAAAGAAATTGTTAAATTCCTGTAAGAGAAGGAGAAAAATATGTGGTTAACATTTTGGTCAAATGACCTTCATTTGTACTTGAATTAATATTTTTGAATCTGCAAGAAGGCACTTTCTAATACCTAACTTGTATACTTGTTATATATTTATCTACGTTTTATTAAATATTATTTATCAATATATTGTTTATTTTCATAATATTTAAGTTATGATATATGGAATAATTATGGAAACAAATAGGTGTTACACGTACAGAAGTCACAAACAATGGATAATCTCAAGTAAATGGTCAATTTTTCATTAGTAGAATACATCATTATAGAAATTACACAAGAAAAGGAAATAAGTTGTACAATATATTAATATTTTGCGTTTGCTTTAAATAGAGCAGTTCATATAATTTTTATGCTATCATAAATTTGTCAATGTGTGATTGTGAAATATAGTTCCAAGTGTCCTGGAATACTCTCTGCAATTCAGTAAAGTTGTTGGTTGGCGTTTGATCTTCTCAGTTTTCAGATATGCCCATAAAATCTTAATAATGTTCATATCAAGACTTGGTGCAGGCCAGGCTGTGGTTGCGAGTGTTCCATTGGTCTGAATTTCATTCCATGTATCGTTTCACAACACTTGCTATATGTTTGAAATCACCATTTTGTTGGAAGATGAATCCCTGCCTAACAACCTGTACCTATCAGCAGTTACGGCGCCATTAATTTTGTATAGGCCTTAAACACCATCGGTTAAAATGCAGCCGTGTTTGTATTGGTTCCCTCAGCGTGCTTCACTATAGTTTCCTTGACGTGATACCTTTCTCTTCTCTTGCATTGAATAAACTATCTCTAAGTTCTGATGCACAATTTGAATTCATTTGTGAAGATCACCCTCTTCTAACTTTTCATGTTAGTTGTCTCTTCTAAGCAGTGCTTTTTTAAATGTTATATAGTCATTGAGACCACTTTGTGCTAATGTGTATCTTACATTTTTTAAGATAACATGGGCACCTATACCTATAGTTAAGTTATCGGTAAATCTACTGTTTTGTCATATATCACGTAAAGAGCATATCCCGAATTACTTAACATTATTTTTGACGAGCTTGGATCTTTCTATCTTAACTTCTTCTATTATCAGCAGTACTAGTTTCACGTAATCTCTTCAACGTTTCAATACATTTCCTAGTAAAAAAAAATTAAATTTCGCCTCAATTTGACGTATGGAGTAATCTTAAACAACCGTAACTTCTACACATTTTTCATGTGACATACATATCCCGAGATTCATAAGTGCAATATGACATTATTTCAAGAAATAGTATGTTATGATTGTTTAGATGACAGCCAATCATAGTGTAAACTATAACCACAAGACTGCGTCTGGTGCAGTTCATTTTCATATAGCAGAGAATAAACAATCTCACAATCTATGTACTTTACATCAAATTTGTTCATTGTTTCCACAATTATTTCCAATACCGTATTTACTTATTTACGGTTTTCACTAAATTCGTATTAAACTATTCCTTTAAGGGAAAAAAACGGAAACTGATGGGTTTATTTGAGTTTGTTCAAATTTTATAGTTATTTCATTTTTAAATGACAACTATATATATATATATTTAACACTTAGTTCCAGGGAAACCAAAATTTACCAAAATGACTACTTTTCAAAACGGAAAGATTCAGCGGTCAGTTGGCAGCTCTTTACGATTAAAGTGTCTAGTACCAACGAATGAGCAGATATCTTGGCTAAAAGACGGGATTTTTCTGTTCGAAGGAAACTTGCCAGTGGGCTCCAAAAGAGGTCGCTGGTATATACAGCTAGAAAACTTGAGAGTCATTGACAGTGGAAATTACACTTGTGTAGTTCGTAATAATTTTGAAACGGTACACAAGTCATTTCTACTTGAGGTGATAGGTAAGTATTCTACTTGAAGCGGTTTACACGTTAAACCTTTAATTTCATAAGTTTATAACACATCAAATCACCCAAAATCTTATTTTTAGAAATAATTACATTAAAAGTATTTTTATAGCCTCTAATAGTTTTTATGTGTTACATTTTTTATCACTATTTTATGTAAGATAAAAATGGGGAGATGTGAAACTATTTCTTGCAACATTTTCCGATTAATGATTCTTCGCTTAAAGGTGTCGATTTAAACAAAACACACATGAAATCACACAATATATATACATATTAACTATGCAATTGTTCATAAACCTGTGTTAGTCATAAAATATTTAAATATAAGTGTTCCAAGAAGCGTTCTTACTTTAATATACATACATTTGTAAAACTTACGATAATTTGTCAATTAAGCAAAACTGTTATAACAGCCACGGGCACTCCTAAAAAGTATCTTTTACAAAAACTTTACGGTGCTTTTGTAACAAAATAATGAATAAACACCGCTTTGTTATTTTGAATCAACATCAGATTGAGCAACAAAACACCAGGTACGAATCAAAGTGATCACTACAACTAGCGTCATCTTTTGGCAACTTTTTATAAATGAAGGTAACTTAATGAATGCAAATTTATTTAAAGTGCTCAAACAAATCTATTGCGCAACATTTACGTTAGTTTTAGAACTAAACTAATATGGAATAACTTTAAAAAACGTTGTACTAAATTTATAAGATTTGAAAGTACATTAATCTATTTATATTCTAGGGATATCGTATTAGTTGTATGACATATTAATAGATGGCGATAAATTACAAATATTTTAGCTGCCCCTTTTCTAAATAATTGTGAATTTTTCTTTTACCCACTAAAATGTATTACTTCAGTGGAGAAAAGAAATAATCCAAGAATGACGATGAGGCGTAATTGATTATATGTTTCACTACTCCATCTGCAGTAGACTAGTTTCTCCGATGCTAGGCGTATTGATTTCTAATGTTTCCTCAGCCTTCAGTAACTTTTATAAAGGTGTAGTTACGTCATATCAACAGAGCCTAAAGTGAAAATGTCTCGGAGAACCAAAGAACAGATTAAGATAATAAAACAGAATGTAACTAGAACAATATAATATATTATAGGGCTTGATGTAACACAGTATCATATATCACTCCTGGCGGCAACGCTATCGAATGTTGACAACCTACAAACTATAAATGTACGTCAGCAAGGAGAGAGAATATATATCTAACCTATTTAAAAGTCAGCGTGTGTCACGCCACGTCACGTTCAATTTCTCGAAATGGGAGAGTCGTAAAATACAAAATGCATTTATCCGTATAGAATAGTTCGATTACTGTCTGCCCATTACGATTATAGTGAGAGGGGTGCAAGGGGGCCGTGAGGGGGTTGCCGTGAAACCTTATAACTGTAGTTAGTGAGTATTGGTATGATAAGCCTAAAGTAAAGACGTACTGTGGGATACTTAGCCCAGAGCCAAGTGCATAAAAATTAACGTAAAAGTAAAAATATCGATTCAATTTTAGATTTAAATCGTTTATGAATTAAGCTATTTTCTGTTAGATCACCAACGTTTTTAATAAAAAAC